CCCCCACCCCCACCCTCTCGCCACCAGGTCTCACCTTGTGGGTGGGAGGTGGGAGAGTTGGGGGTACAACCTGTCAGGCCCTGCTAAGACCCAAGTTTGTGAGTAAATTATCCTCGTATAGATTTTAGCATCTGTCAGCTGTGCTTCATGGAAGGAGAAAGTGGATAAAAGTGCACCTAATTTATTGCCCAGTCCAATTTTAATAACATTTAGCAGAAGCTGATTAATTAAAGAATTTGTTATGACTGTCCTGCAGTCCAAAGGARGATTTCTCTGTCTGGTCCAGCAGACCTAAGTCCATTTACCTAATTAAAAGAACAAGCCACCCGTCTCTGTGGCTTTGTGTTTACTGCTGTTTGGTGGGAGACATAAAACACAAGCAGCAGTAGAAATGCAAATAGGAAGCAGGGTGACACAGCCAAATGCAATGAGACAAAGACAAGGAAAGGACAGGAATCAACTTTTGATGGAAATGAATAGATTTCCATTTATTTGCTGATTTTTTCAACATAGCTGCTGATAGACCACAGGGGCTTTGCCTTCAGATGTCTACCTGTAGACTGACTTTTAGAAATCCAACAAATTCATAAAATATCCTTAGTACACTCACAATAATTATAGGGGTTGTGTTTACATGCTGTTGGACTGTATATCTTGGTGTTTTAATTAAACATTACATTTATTAAAAGCTTCTGGCCTGTCTTTATGCATTTTTTATTTTAATGTGTTATTTTACTATCAGCTAGGTTGACTACAGGTGAAAATTACTTAGCACCAAATAACCTGGTATGTGCATCATTCCTGTAATGTATGTTGTACTTTGTCCCAGTTTTTAATAAAGAAATTAAACGTTATTTACAGTATAAATATTATGTTGATTACAGTACAGTAACCTAATTATACACAGCCCAATCCTGGCTGTCCTCACAGGTGATCTTGCACTGAAAAAATGATTTTTGGGTGTAGTAATATTTATTTAATTTTTCTTTTAAATTTTACAAAAAATATCAAAATCTCTAAAATACTAGAATTTACTAAATAAACAATACACATTATATTATATATCAATATTACTGTACAAAAAATAAAATTCTAATATTATTTTATCAGTAATATTTAAGTGTTGTTTCTGGACAGCACATAAACATGAATATATGAAGTAACTTCTACTCTTCTGG